TATTATCAATATCATACATGGTGTTTGGTTATTCTTAGTGTTTGGAGAAACTATCTTTGGGCCTCCATATTAGTTAAGTGTTGGATTTTGGGGCAGGTTATTAATTGTCAATTTTTCCTTGGCTCTTCTTTCTTCTTTCTATGATGTTGTCGATATTTAGGTTTATGAGAACGAGTGAAGGGTGCCAGTTTCGTGGTATTAACTGCTTAATGCTTATGCCTTCTACATTCTCCCCTTTTCAGAAGGATATGAGAAGTTAGCCCGGGCAAAAGAAGGTCCATCAAATCAACATTTGGCTAGTGGAGAAGCCTCTAGCACTGGTGAAGGTGATTACGATATGTTTGCTGACGAGGATGATAACAGTAAGCCATCTACAGATGAAAATAATACAGTTAGTCAATCTTCATCGGACGCCATAAATTCTGGCACTGAGGGTAGGTAAATTGGCCTCCAAAGTCTTTGTTACTGATTTTTATTTGATTAGTATTTACTTAACATTGTTCTACTTTTCTTTCAGGTGGAGCATTGCAAAATGATTATGTGTATGATGAATCTTCTGGGTATGGCTCTTCTCTTCCATGTAAATTTTGGGAAATAGTCTGATATACATGACATTATTTATCTTTGTTGTAAATTTCAAAACCAAAAAAAAAATCATTATGGTATTAAGGAGGTGGCAAAAGTTGAGGGTTTGTACCCACTTCTTCTTCTAATGAATTCTGTTACCAAAAAGAGCTGTTATAAGCTTGTTTCTGACATCAATATTTGATGGTCCAGGTACTATTATAGCAGCAGTTTGGGCTATTATTATATCCAAATACCGGCCTTTATTGCTCTGCAGCATCAGGACCAATGGTACCACAGCCTTCCTTTTATCATCTTTTCGTGGTGGTTTGTCAATTTTTATCCTGAAATCTTTTAGCCTTTGTTTACAGTAAGTGGTGCCAAACATAATGTGGATTTGGTGTGTGTTTTGTTTGTTAAAATTTAATTTTGATTTGTGATATTTTTTTGTTGGAAACTATATCAAGAGATGTGATAGTGTACGTCAATTTATAGATCTTGGTGGCATAAAAACATGCAGGTGGATTAGTTGTATAATTAACACTTTGCTGAGAGGAGTGATAGGTGTAAATTTTACTTGTTTTTGTTGCTTAAATTATTGTTGTGTTTTGAGTAAGTTTTAGTGTTAATTCCATCATAAAAGTATATAATTGTTGATATATGTTAGGACCTGGCGAGTTTACGAGAGACGAAGATAGGAGGGAGAGAGAAGGGGACCGTACGGAAGAAGACATGACCGAACGGTTGAAAGGGAGGAGCTTGATGGCCGAACGACAAGGAGAAGAGAAAGAGAGCAGAGCGAGCGGGACGAGGACACCTTCTGAGCGAGTGGAAGCAACGAGGGAGGGGACGAGCGCCTGAGCGAGGGAAAGCAACGAGGGGCGAGGACGAGCCGTTCCGAGCAGTGGGAGCAACGAGGGGCGAGGACGAGCGTCCTGAGGGAGTGGAAGCAACAAGGGCTGAATGAGCAAGGGACGAGCGGCCTGAGCAAGGACGAGCGTCAAACTGACAACAGAAGGATAGTATAGAAGGAAATATAATAAATACGCATAAATATAATAATAAGGATAGATATATTCTACCAGATAATTATATAAATACGCAATAATATATAAATAAAATAGATATATTCTTACCAGATAATTATATAAATAATAGTTTTATTATTCTCGGCCCTTTTTGGGAAGGAGTATTAGTATTAATAGAGGAGGAACCTAGGGAAAAAGTTATGCTTTTGATTTGGGAATTTTGTAAGAGAGGTTATGCTCTCAGATAACGTGACGGAGATCCTGCCCCCAGTTTATTTTGTTTGTTTTCTTGATCCAGTAATTCTTATTTAATAAAAGAGGTTCATTCAGCTATTGTTTTTTCATTATCCCTTGCTTGTGAAAGTGTGTGAGAATAGAGCGTTTCTAGTTACATTCCAGATTCAGGCACGTAACAAATAAGTATAATTTTGACTGTTTAAATATTTTTTGATGCTTTTGTTTGTTATTTTTCGAAGTAGAATAAGGATTGGATACTGTCAAAGACTTGGAGCGCATCATTTGGCTGTCAGCATCGAGAAAGAGAACGCCCATCCAACACAAGCCAGGACGCTCGTCCAGCGCCAGCGCAGAGGACGCTCGGCCATGCAGCCTCAGATCCCCAGCCGCTCAGAGGAACGCCGTCCATAAAGTGGGACGCTCGTTCCAGAGAGCGGAGATCGTTCGCCCGCTAGCGGAGAACGCTCGCCCAGACACTTGTCGCCCAGAGACGCTCGTCCAGCGCGCAGAGAGGAGGCTCGTCGCAGCTCGCCGCGCCGCAGAGGACGCTCGTCCTATCAACCATTTTACAGCAGATATGTGGTTGCTACGACTGTCTCATTTTTTGTGATGGAATTGTTATAATGGATTCTTGAACACCGAGTCAATAGTGACTTTCGTGGTCCTCCTAAGAACCAAATTGTAATTATGTAATGTACGCTTTTGTAGCGTCATATGAAAACCTTTTACGGCCAGTTTTTATTGAATTTGGTGCAGCAATAGGTGCCCCAATGTTCATCTTTGTTTAAGATTCAAATCCATTTAAACGGTTATTGAATGATTTGAATTAATGCAGTATAGACTAGGAAGTTATGCGGTTCAGTCATAGATGACACCACGAAAAAAGGGGGGTTTTTTTTGGATTGGTTTTGCAAGGAAAATTAAATTAATTAAAAGTTGAAAGTTAAAAACAATTGACAAAATTATGAAAATTAAAAGTGAAATGGCTTGCTGTTCTATGTGGAAAATGATACTTAGACAACAAATTTTGACAACATTTCGACACAGCACACGTGTCAGCGTTTGAGCGGCCCACGTTTTGGTTGGAAAAAGCTGCTGCGTTCTGAGAAAGTCTGATGAAACCTGCTTCAACGCTGACGTGGCGAGGACGGGCACGGGCACGGGCAGATTGGGGTGTGCGTTTCAAAAATTAAAATGACGTGGCAATGACAGAATTGGGGGCAGATTCAAATTTTAGGGTTGTTTCGAAAATTTGAGATTCAAATATTTTGAGAGAGAGAGAAAACGGAGAACATTTGATGGAGCACCTTCTTTCCTTCTTTCCTTCTTTCCTTCGAACCAGCCACCACAGCTCTCGCCGGATACGCGCCGCCCGTAGACGTTGCCGTTTTCGCTCCATCCAGTGCCGCCGGTGTCCGTCGTCTTCCACCCAGCCACGCAGTTCCGTTTGCGGGTCGCCGCAGCGCCAGTGTTGGCAGACGAACCGAAGACGGCATCGTCTTCCCTCCGGCCCAGCCAACCAAGTTTGCGTTTTGAGTATCGATTCCTCCCACCCGCTTCCTTCCCTGTGCCGGACCCTTGCGGTGGCCGCCGGACTGCCGTCGGAGTGTCGCCGGACCAAAAATAGTCCCACTTGGTCCCTTCCCTTCCCTTGATGATATTTTATGGACTTGCAAATCTCTTTTGCCAGTAAACCAACTTCCTTAGATTGTACTGATTCATTGGATGGTAGAAATACATAAATTTGTTGCAATATATGCTGTCTTTTTGGACGAATTTCTCATAAACTATGCTTAGAATATATGTTCATTAGATTTGATAGAGTATTGAGATCAAGTTCTTTAATTGCTTGAATAGACCCAAAACTATTTTTGTCGTTCTTGGATTTATTTTGTTAATTTGAGTTGACAAATCATGATACAATGATAATTTTGTTTCGGTTCTTACATGTTTTAATCACATCTATTGGTTTAAAATTCCACAGGAGACTAGAAATGAACAAATTATTTGAGGATGTGTCTTCGTTTGTAAATTGCCTTAGTCTTTCTTTGATGTAAGTTCTATCTTTTTTTATTTTACTTTTGGAACAATTTAGCATTATAATTCTCTGGAAAGATCATATAACTTTTACCTAACAGATTGGTTATTGACTTAAAAATCTATACTAATGTACATTACAAAACAAGAATCATCTGTGATCTAAAATTTACAAGTCTTGTCTCCATAGAAAGATATTTGAGTCTAGATTCCAAAAAAACAAGAATCATCTTATTTGGAATTCTGTGAAGAGAGTAATGAGTAAACTAGTGAGTAAAGGTCATAGCTGAAAGTACTGAAAAACGTAATTAAAATGTCGATCTTAAAATTTGTACTGCAGTTGACTCTGTGATCTAAAATTTACGAGTCTTGTCTCCATAGAAAGATATTTGAGTCTAAATTCCAACAAAACAAGAATCATCTGATTTGGAATCCTGTGAAGAGAGTAATGAGTAAAATAGTGAGTAAAGGTCATAGCTGAAAATACTGAAAAACGTAATTAAAATGTCGATCTTAAAATTTGTACTTCAGTTGACTCTGTTATCTAAAAGTTACGAGTCTGGTGTCCAAAAAAAGATCTTTGAGTCTAGATTCCAAAAAAACAAGAATCATCGCATTTGGAATTTTGTGGAAAGAGTAATGAGTAAAATAGTGAGTAAAGATCATAGCTGAAAATACTTTAAAACGTAATTAAATTGTCGATCTTAAAATTTGTACTGCAGTTGACTCTGTTGTCTAAAAGTTACGAGTCTGATTTCCAAAGAAAGATCTTTGAGTCTGGAATCCAATAAAACAAGAATCAATTCATTCGGAATTCTGTAAAGAGAGTTATGAGTAAAACACTGAACAAAGGTCAGGGTTGACATCAAATTAACTTGAGATTAGGCTCTTTGATATTAGGTTTCTTGCTTCACACAGATCATCTTTGCTTCCTTTCTGGGTGCATCCTGACAGAAAGATAAAATTGCTTGAAAGCTTAATTAATGATGATTTGCTTGAAACTAGTAAATCTTCACATGATGAAGTTCAGGATAAAAATGTCCCTGTCTCTGAAGAATTGGGAGACCAACTAATATGTTAAATAATATTATTTTGTTGTTGGACTTTGTTTGTTG